ACAGCATGAAATGTATCTTTACAAAAATGGGGTAAGGTTTCAACAGGAAAAAATGCAAACCAAACAAAAGGCTGATATTAATAATTTTTTGTATGGTTTGTCTTAGCATGCATATAACACTACTGTATACTGTATTTGACTGTGTTTGCATATCACTCTGGTACTCACCATATCTGTTTTATGTAAACACACAACTGACTCAGCTTGTTTTGGATAAAGTACACTCTCTCAGTTTCACACTTATTGTAATCAAGACTGCACAGTGTTAACTTTGTTCCAGGTGTCTGGAAAGAGGTCATTAAATGCAAATGGCATCAGTAGTGCTACAAAAGCCCATAAAGCCATCATCTTGGATGTAAACTGGGTGTTACAGTACTGTAAGCGGAGAACTGTACCGCTACTCTGTCTCCCTCCCAGTAACTCCCATTCCACAACATGACGTGAACTATCACCTCACTCACTCATCAACAATGTTTCTGGCAAGTTGAATTCATAGCTTTGGGGGTTACTAAAACAGTATATTATCATATTCAGTTTTCTATTAATGTGATTAAAAATGATATTGCAGACTTAAAAATGATTTTGTCTCTGGGTGATATTTTTCTTTGGACAATGATGGATCGTAAGTGACAGCAGGGGCCCCATGCTCTGAGCATTAGTATCAGTATGCCATTCAAATATCAAGTTTGTATAACTTGTGAATTTTGGAGAAAAAATATTATAAATTTATTTTAGCAAATAAACTTGTAAAAGAACAAATTCGGAATAAAAATATCAGTACTGTACTGTACTGTACCTGTAATTAAAAAAAAATAACAATACTTAGGCTTCAATGAGCACTGGCCAATTTTGCACAAATAAAATGAATAATTATAAAATACTGGACATGTACTGTACTGTACTTTAAAAATAAATAACAAGGAATGTGGCCTGTAGCTGCACAGTGACCCACACTTACATCAGCTGGTCAGTGATGAAGTCTGGGGAGAGGAAATTATCCACAAACTTCTCATCACCCATAATAACCATCAAGATAACTGTTGCTACTTTATCCTTTCCTTTGTTAAAATCTTTGCCCATGATTTGAGTACCCACCCCCCAAGGAAAAGTAAACTAATGTAATTTTTAACTAACTTAATGTAGTGTCAATTTAACCATCCTATTCTATGAAGACTTGATCAGTGAACTAGAGAGGTTCTTCTGTATTGTGAAAGCAATGAGAAGAGAAGTATACAATGAGCTGAACATGAGAAAGAAGATGGAAATACATGGTTAAGAAGAGCATGTAGAAGATTGGACTGTGGATGACACAGGAACGTAGCAGAAACAGATCGAAGAAACCGACCTAAACCTTTGGGAATGGCTAAAGGAAGTCTAATGGATGATATAAATGGCTGACTCAGAGAGTAAATGAAGGATAAATGAGATCTGGTGTTAAAACAGTAAATTACAAAAGATGAACAGTAACAGGTATAAGTGTTGCGAATGTTTACATACCACTAAATAACATATTACATACATGTAGGCCTACATAATAGGATATGAATTAAGAGTTCTTCTAACAAAGCAAGTGTGTGTGGAGGTGCACAATCAATTAGCCCCCACAATGCATGGAACAAATCTGAAAATCTGAAATCTGACACCTAATACCCATTCCCATTTAACCCCTACACATTCACACACACAAACACATATACTGTAGAACACACTAACCTGACTCACTCATAACTTCTAATGGTTATATCAATTAATACAGAAAAAAATGATCCCTGTACACAATACTTTATTGAGGTAAACATATACAGGTCGACCACAATTTACGGATTTTTAAAGATGTGGGGAAAAAATCACGGAACAACAGAAGTTTTTTCAAATTTTTTCTGTAACATGGGAATATGCCGAGGTCCTGACACAGGCATCTAGGAGCACCCAGTACTGAACAAGGATAGTAATCAGTGCAGTTTAAACCTGACATGTGTATAGCTTCATGTTTAAAGAGCTTGTGTATACTCAAGATAAACTTCATACATATAAGGATATTAACTGGGGAAAAAAGACTGGTTTAATCCTTACAGGAATATCTACGCGATGATTGGATAAGAGACAGCTGGTGATAACTGAGACTATACTACAGTACAGTTCTTCAGTTACATTAAAGGGGAACCAGAAATTGATCAATATTCTGACTCTGATTCTTGATTCTACTTCGCTTCTACCACGGTACACAACACCGAACCTCAAAGAAAGTTACAAAAAGACTGTGGCAATAATTGTGACACCTGCTTTATTGACCCAACACTAGAGGAGTGACATAGACAGTGACGTTATACCAGAAAATGTTTGGGGTGATTATTACTGTGACTAATTATGTTCGTATTTCATCAGCCCAACACATGAGAAGACTGTTGGTGATAATAAACAAATAGTGGATTAGGGTAAGGATAGCGGTAATAAAGAAATGAAGAAAACAATGACATGAGTGCCATTAATGGTTTATATCCACGTTACATACATGGTTTAATGACTCAACATTGCAGTTTTTATGAATGAGAACATAAAAATTTATCCTAATGCTTAATTTGGAATGATCGATATTGTGAACAGAAAAACAGTACCCTTAAATCATTACTCCTCCTCAACAGTACCCATAAATCATTACTCCTCCTCAACAGTACCCATAAATCATTACTCCTCCTCAACAGTACCCATAAATCATTACTCCTCCTCAACAGTACCCATAAATCATTACTCCTCCTCAACAGTACCCATAAATCATTACTCCTCCTCAACAGTACCCATAAATCATTACTCCTCCTCAACAGTACCCATAAATCATTACTCCTCCTCAACAGTACCCCAAGTCATCCAAACCACCTTAGTCATTTTCTGACGACAATGTAGTGGAGTTTCTACCCAAAAATACCACTTACAGTACTTGACCCAACCCATAGAACAAAGGACAATTGCCACCTACAGTCCTTACTACAATATCAAAGGTGTACATTCCAGCAGATGATCATGGCAGTTGATAGTGACTGTAACATTTCAATTATAAATTTTTGGAAAGATTTTGATATACAGTGGTCCCTCGGTTAACGAGATTTCGGTTAACGAATTACCTTCCATAAGATTCTTAACTTCGGTTAACGAGCAATCCCTCGATTCACGAGTTTCTTACGAGCCGACCTGAACATGTTTTCGCTTGCATTTGGCAGTCCACCAGCTGTAGTATTAGTCCGCCAATACAGTAATCGGTGCTAGGGCTTAAATTCCTTACCATTTTAGCAAATATCAAGAAGTTTATACTATTCAATAATTTTAAAAGTTTAATATTAAATTTTTTAGTCATTTTAACAATTATTCAACATAATTGAAGGTAATGAAACTAGTTTTATGCACGCCATCCAGCCTCTCAACACACCATACAGGCGTCAGTCTTTGTGTCTTTTCAGTGGAGGTAACATCTTGCTTGAGACTCTTTTCAACTAAACGCTTTTTTCTGTGTTTGCAAGCAAATTATTGGTCATTTTGAAATATATTTTACATATTGACAATATATAATGCAGTGCAGTGTTGATTTAAAGAAAATAATCTTGAATTACACCAAGAGAACTAAAATTTTATGGGTGAAATGATGCCATGGGGTGACTTCTCTTCCACCCCAATGCCTTCTCTTCTCCCTTCTCCTCCACCCCCATTCTAATTCCCATCACCATCATCCAGGAGCCTTCTACATACACACCTCAAAGTAAGTGTACTTTTCTACCTTTTTTGTTGAATTTAGACAATTTTCGGTGAGCTGGAACCAATTACCCAAAAACCCATTGAAACAATGGTTTCGGTTAACGAGGGACCACTGTATATAAATACAGTACTGTAGATAATATTGGCAATATTGGCCAGTGTGAGAATGACTTACGAGGCTTCTCCAAAACTGCACCCATTATAAGAGAGCTTGTGACCCTTGCCCATCAAATGGGTTTTGTTAATCAAAACTGTGATACAAACAACATATCATAATATTGTGAATAACTGTGAAGATTTAATAGCAAATGAGCAAATTCGTACACCTTCAGAAGAGGAAGAAGAATCAGACTCAACATTTCATAACAAAAATGCTCTCTGAAGCATGCACTTGATTAAATAATGCTCTTGAAATATTTATAGAGCCCACAGCTCCTACAAGAACTGTTCAAATAAAATGAAATGCATGCTAAGCAGAAGACAACGCTAAATTCATAATTCACTAAAGCAATGGCTGCATGACCTCTTCCAATGAAAGTTATGTCAACTCTTCTCATTAGTGATGGCCCAGATGATCCTCCCCATATTGGTATGTCTTTAGTGATGGCCCAGATGATCCTCCCCATAGTGGTATGTCTTTAGTGATGGCCCAGATGATCCTCCCCATAGTGGTATGTCTTTAGTGATGGCCCAGATGATCCTCCCCATAGTGGTATGTCTTTATGGTTGAAGATGGTATTCCCTCTGCCATACCATCACCACGAGCACCAGCTTTCACAGTTTCTCATAAGAATACATTTGAATTTAGTTTAAACTCGTTAGTATTGTGTCTACAGTACTGTACTCTACAACTATTTATTATTATTCAAAATTAGTTTCACTTCAATAATTTCTTAAAAATGTTTATTGTCATCTTATTACATGTTTGAGAACTTTTTTTCTCATAAGAATGCACAGTGTCTGCCAAGTCATAATGGTAGTCAATGGGTAAATCCACTTGAATTTACAGATTTTCAATTTACTTTGGGGGAAGGAGGATCAAACTTCCGAAATCAAGGTCGACCTGTACTGTCATTATAGTGAACATTAAGAAGAAACAAAGGAATTTGTCACACAAAAGCTTGCCACCCTAAATAATGGGGCACACCAACTCCTGTAAAAGAATTAATATTACTTTTTACCTCTGCAGAGACACATTAGGAAAAAAAATGGATAAGACATCCATAAAATGGATTAAACACTAATGATATACTCACATGAAGAACTGGGAACCATTTGTGTCTTTCCCACGATTGGCCATGGAGAGCAGAAAGGGTTCACTATGGTCCACTTCAAAGGTCTCATCTAATTAGTAAACAGGCAATAAGGAGAATACATTAATACTTTGTCATCAAAACTTCAATAACATCCCCAGTGTTTACTCTTATCTAGTCTCCAAGTACAGTAGGCCCTTCAAATTCGTGGTGGTTAGGTTCTCAAAATGGCCGCGAATCGCCAAATCTGCGAATAACATTTGCTGATGGGGGGGATTTTGTGTACTGTACAAAGAAACGTATGTTTCCTTTATGTGTTTGCCCTTAGGACTATTGTTTCTTTTACCTGTAACTGTATATATGTGTGTGTGTGTGTAGACACACACACACACAAATAAATACAGTAATAATGTGAAAATCCTCTCACAAATAATCAGAAGAAATTTATTTAAAAATGTTGAATTTAAACTCAAGTCTACTCCATGCTTTATTAATAACAAAGCATGGAGTAGACTTGAGGGTAGACTCAACATTTTTAAAACTAAATTTTTTTTCTGAGTATTTGTGAGAGGATTTTCCCATTATTATTTACTTGTACGGTATGTGTTTTGTGTGTGTGTGTGTCTACACACACACACATAAATACATTACATGTAAAGGAAATTACTGTCTCTAAAATGTTATGACTCCCTGTCCCGGCAGCAAAAATGAAAGCAACTTTAAAACTACCCGCAGACATTCTTGGGTACATCCAGGGTGTCATCCGTGAAATATAAATTTGCGAATTATCCGGGCGTACTGTACCCCCCTGTGAACTTACTTAAATTCTTACTATATTTACCCTCAACCAGTTTCTCAGTTTCAATATATTTTTTTAATTAATAATTCCTCCATTTATCTTTCCTGAGCTCACAATTATTTTTCTTGAATGTTATTAATTCAACCTGTACTATTCATCATAATAACTGTTACTATGTTATTGAGCAGTAGACAATGAGAAACTAGGGGTCGAATAGCATTTTGTAAAAGTGTGTATGACATTGCAAGAAGACTCGAGAACCTCTGTCATAGTAAATGATGAGGAAATGAAGATTTAAAGGTGATAGTAGGAGCCCATCAAGGGTATACAGTACCTTGAACCTCCTGTTGTTTATTATGGTGCTGGATGCACTAGTGGTGATGGTATCTACAATAGTAAAGATTGACAAGCTAGTGGACAGATTTAAGTAATGAAATGAAGTCGAAGAACTTGAGTGTGAATGTGGCAAAAAGAAAATATTAATCATTTGCATAGGTGAAGGACCTGTGGTGTAAAGTGGAAAACAGCTATGTGCTGTCTATAAGGAAGGTATTGGCTGCAACTCAATGTGCAGTGAGCGTAGGTGTGCACACAAGAGTGGTGTAACTGGCAGATTGCATGATGTTACTGACTTAAGTGTTCTGCAAGTGCATGTAACCATGTGGCCTTAGCAAAGATAGAGAAACTCAAACATAGAGGATATATTCCTGGACGATGCCAATGAGTTTGTTACCTGGATGACATGATCAATGATGAAGGGGGTGGTAAAGCTAGCTCACTTGTAAGGGTCAGAAGTGGCCAGAATGAGTTTAGGGAGTTTTTATGTCTAATTGGTGGCAAGAAGACCCTCTCTATGTGAGAAAGATTTATGCAATGCACTATGGTGCAAAGTGTGAAGTTATATGGCACCGAAACATGGGCAGGTAAAGAGAATGTTAAACATAGGCTAGAGCTGGCTGAAGTAAGAACGTAGTGTGATAGATGTGTAATGCGATTCAAAAAGATAAGAAACAATGTTCACTGCACTTTACATTGAATCCTCACTAATTTAGTACTGTCAGAGCTCTGGCTTAATCAATTACCACAATATATAGTATTATCCAAACACATCAAAATTACCACACATATCTGGATTTCTTTCAATTTTCCTTACAATTAAAGAGGATATTATGATGTTTCAGGACAGGTGTTATACTGTGAAGCCCACCATGAGAAAAACCAAACTATATCTGAAAAATAATGTACTGTACAGTATACAGGCAGTCCCTAGGTTACGAATGTCCGACTTACGAACATCCGCCAATACGAACGAGGTTAAACTTTAAATTTACAGTATTTTATTTACCTGATGAAAATTTTTTTACTTTCATTTACTGTATTTGTCATTCAATTTCTTCTTTCTCTTAAATTAAGTGATTTTAGATGTATATAAGCACTTAAGCTATGATAAAGTGGGACTTTAAACATTGTTTTGTAAGTAAAGTATGCACATAGCATGTGTTTTGACTTCTGCACCTTTTCAACTTAAGAATGTCCCAAGGAATGGATCTTGTTCGTAACCCAGGGACTGCCTGTACTGCACTAAAGACATACCTGATTTTGAAATTAATATGATTATATGTGCAAGTATATGACAAGCTTTGTGTAATTCTGTATTGTATAAAATAATTAACCTATTAATGGTCAGCCATCCTTTTCATAAATCATCTAGTTGGGCAATACCAATTCTGCAATTTCAGGAAGATAAACATAACATTCTTCATATTTCCTTTATTCAGTTACATGCATGCACTATCCTACTAACAGAATGTGCAAAAAATAAAATAAAAAATAATCATCATTAAGTCGAATACAGTACATAAAATAATTAAACATTGCTTCGTGCGAAAGCGGGAGGGGGGGGGCGTTGCTCACCCAGCTGGGTCGGGTTGCTAAGGTGAGCCTTCAGGGAGGCCATGTATGACTCAGCCAGTGTCAGCAAATGGCCTCGGTTACAAACTTTCGGGAACTAATTTCATAGACATACCAGTGCTTCCACAACATTGTGATGCGGCGGTGCATGATGCAATTTCTCGGAATTCCCTGTACATTTCTTCACACACCAGCAATTGAGAAAATTTTTCCGGAAATTCCAGCTAATGGGGAGATTACTTATAATTTGAATTTCTTACCCAAATCACAAAATCTCACTAAATCTACCTCAACAAAAAATATAATTTTCCCAAAATACTGAACTGGAATATAAAATTAGCAAGGATTCAGTGGATATTGTGACTTCTGTAAATTCGATGATTAAAACATGGCAGTCCATCCCATCCACTTCATGGATTTTCAAATCACAATTTACTAATCTGTTCATCCAAAATATTACGACAGTCTACCTACAAATCAAGTTAAACTTTAAAAATCCACTGTTATTGCTTTCATTCATTCTTGTATGTACGTGAAGAAAATACTCCAATGTCCCCCTCTTAGTACAGTTAAAAAGAAAGACCATATAACACACAGTACTGTACAGTATAATTTACCGTAACCCCCAAAATAAGAAAAAGATGACCATACATAACCAATAATACAAACCTTCAAACTGACCACCGTAGATAGACTCTCCACCAGTACCATTACCAGCAGAGAAATCACCAGCTTGAATCATGAAATCTTTTATCACACGGTGAAACTTCACTCCACGATAATGAAGAGGTTTAGTAGTAGTTTTCCCTTCTCCCATCTCTCCTGCAAATGATCACACAGTTGAAAAAGAATTTTACACATCTTAAATAATATTAATATCGCTAAGTATTACATTACAAGTCCCCCCTAAATTTTTAGTTTTGTTTCATGATTATGCACAAAATGTGTAGCAAGAATTAATAACAAATAATTGCTGATAATTAAATGAATAAGTCTGTAAAGTGACTGGGTGGATGCATACTACAGTACTAACCTAGCACACAACTTGATTGACCTCATTTAAATGGCTCCACTAATTACCTGTACTAATTAGTCCCAATCATTCTTTCATGGTGGAATCTGACAGGGTATTAACCACCCCAGACTTAGCTGGTTGTAAAATACGAATTACCCAGGATGGTAATACAGTTGTAAAATGAGAAGACTGAAAGGAATTTATAATGTACTGTTCAGTATATACAGTGGTCCCTCAGTTAATGAATGGTTCGATTAATGAAATTTCGGTTAACGAATTACCTCCTATAAGGATCTTCAATTCGGTTAACGAACAAAACTTCGATTAACGAAATACTTACGAAAAACACGTTTTGTTGTGAGCATCAGCTGATGGACAAGTCTGCCAATTCAGTAATCTGTTCCATGTTTACATTCGTTTCCAGTGGAGTAAATATCAAGAAAGTTGTGCTCTTTAATATTTTTGCATTTTTATAGTAAAATTATTAGTCATTTTTAAATTTAGTTAACATATTGATAATACTGTATATGCAGTACAGGGAACTAGTTTTTTGTGCGCCCATCAGCCGCTTGACTCAGCCACCAGGCATCAGTTTGGCTTTGTTGACAGTGGAGTGAACATCGATTATATTGGTGTCTTGAATATTTTTGCATTTTTACATTAAAATTATTGGTCATTCTGATATTTAGTTAACATATTGATAATATATAGAGCAGTGCAGTGTTGATTTAAATAAAATAATCTTGAATTACACCTAGGGAGCTTAAAATTTTATTGGTGAAATGACGGCATCAAGCATGGGTCCCCTGAAAGGTGATTTCTCCTCCATCCCCACTTCCTTCTCTTCTCCCTTCTCCTCCACCCCCACTTCTAATTCCCATCATCATCATCAACCAGGAACCTTCTACATACACATCTCAAAGTAAGTGTACTTTACTGCATTTTTTTTTACTTTGTATGTACTTTTCTGTGAGTTGGAACCAATTACCCAATATCCCATTGAAACAATGGATTCGGTTAACGGAATTTTTGGTTAACGAGCGACTCTGTGGAATGAATTGTGTTCGTTAACCAAGAGACCACTGTATTTGGTTAAAGTTTACAAAACTATAATAAAATAAAATGTACTTACCGGTACAGAGCGCTCGAAAGTTTTCACATGTTTTGGGACAAACATCATTATAAAGCTCAAAGATGATTCGACCAGAAGGAATCCCATCTATTTCAATATCAAAAAAGCAGCGAACACGGTGCGTCATCTTCAAACTGTAGGAAAAAATATCTCATCAGACAACTTAATCATAAGTTAATAGCTATTGACAGATATGCTTAAGAAATGATTATTTATTAAGCTATTTAAATCATTACTAAAAAAACACAAGTAAAATCAGTGAGTTGCTGAGTCTCTACTCCTAAAAAAAAACCTACTGAAAGACTTTCTACCAGTAGTAATAAATCCTTCCAAAGCTTGTATTAGCCCCTGTCAAACAGACAGTAATGCTTATATAAATGTGGACTACATACATTGTTTACAGTATATACTTCACTTTAACAAACTCCACATTAAGGATTCATCATATTAACGACAGTAATGAAATGCGACGCCTCAACACATTAATGATACATTTCAACACAATAACAATCAGTAGCGCAAGTTGATAGTCACTCTGAGCAGCCAACTTGATGATGTCAGTGAGCGGGGTGGTTTTGATCCGAGCATGTGAACAGGTATGGTGTAACCTACCCAACTTATCTGCTGCTGCTACTGTTTTAGCAAGAGACGGTGATGGCACTGTAGATGATAATGCTCAAGATTTACCTGTGTGTGAGGTTAGATGATTTACCACTAGACTTCACTGGCTTAGAGAATGAAAGATCAGTTGGTGGTGGTGTTTGTTTGTTTTTTATACTCCCCTCCCCAACAATCATAACAGAAAAAGTTGGATATACATAAATTACATTATCAACCAACCAAGAAAACATAACCTAACCCGTTGTTCATGCCCCAGACGCTTTAAGAGCAAAGACGAAGGCCTGGAGCGATGCACGAGCAGGGGGTCAGACCACCCCCGCCATAAGTAAACAAATCATGGGAACACTTGTGACTGAGAGAAAGTAATAATCTTGAAAAATTAATGTCTCGGTTATCCTTAATTTCTGGTGGAAGTATCACAGAAGAAAAATGCCTTAGAATTGTGTAAACATTACGATACATATTTTTAATACAAAAATAAAGACCGGTGTGATGCTATAAATTCATGGTTTCATTTTCAGCATGACGTGTGAAGGTTGTCGCCGGTCTTATATGGACGTAATTTGCGAATTTAGGGATATAGACAATGAGACCCTTCAGTTTTACAAACACCACGGCATCATTCCTTTAAGTAGAAAGTATTGTTCAGCGGTCCGACTAATTACCCAAATGTAGCCAAATATAGCCGGAATAAAGTCAAATAATGGTTCTAGATGAATAAATCGGACTGCCAATCACTTCTCGACTAGTATTTGGTGTCAGAAAGTCACAAAAAATTGGAAAACTTACTTTAATCTGAGTTAATAGATCGCGTGCATGTACCGACCGAGCGAGGAATTACCCAAATGTAGCCGCAATGAAGTCAAATGATGGTCGTACAAGCGTAATTCGGGCTGTGAAGCACTTCTCGATTATTATTTGGTGTCATAAAGTAAAAAAAAATTGGTAAACTTAATTTAATCTGAGTTGAGTTGTGTTAGGTTAGGTTAGGTTAGATTAGAATAGATTAGGTTAGGTACATGCACTTGATCTATTAACTCAGATTAAATTAAGTTTACCAATTTTTTGTGACTTTGTGACACCAAATACTAGTCGAGAAGTGATTGGCAGTCCGATTTATTCATCTAGGATCATTATTTGACTTCATTGCGACTACATTTGGGTACATTTGGGTAATTCCTCGCTCCGTCGGTACATGCACGCGATCTATTAACTCAGATTAAAGTAAGTTGTCCAATTTTTTGTGACTTTCTGACACCAAATACTAGTCGAGAAGTGATTAGCAGTCCGATTTATTCATCTAGGACCATTATTTGACTTCATTCCGGATATACTTGGGTACATTTGGGTAATTAGTCGGACCCATTGTTCAGAGCAATAATGTGAAATAGATCTGGGTTTGTGTGTTAAGTCAGTTGTTGATCGGAAACAATCATTCATCGACGCCGTAGCTCGTGTTTCTGCCATCTCAATAACAAATCACTCCGCAGCCCGGACTGAAGCGCTGATGCTGCCAAATGGTCTCGCATCCAGAAAATGCATCAAGTTTCACCATCTCATATTAAGTTCTTACTGTTTAATATACTGGGTAGTTAGGTAAGGTTAGGTAGGTATGTTTGATTTGGTTGGTTAGGTAGGTATGTTTGATTTGGTTGGTTAGGTCTGTTCTTCATACCCACAAATGTTTTCAATCAATTTCGTAAGCGGGTTAGTCATATATAATTACATAAAACTTTCCAGACAGAAATTTACAAATATATATTACAGTATCTGGATTTCACAAATACCAAGCACTACATAACACTCACAGTACATAACACAGGGTAGATACTTCCACAATATTCACATATCTCCCCAACTAAACAATTATATTCTATAAACCAAACATCTATCTACAATGTCACCAAATTTAAAATCTATGAGTCTTTGACGTTTATTAAACAATATAAGTCACCCAGCTTTGTGTTCACCATTGGATGGTTTACCACACCTTACCTTCAAGTACCCTTAGAGCTTCTCCTTCTTCATCTACCGTAGATTGGTTATTAGTTCAGGTAACCCAACCAGGTAATGAACTAAAGTAAGATGATTAATGAATATTTGTCACTATTAAGGAAAACACTAACAGTAACGGTAACAAGAAGCGGAATGGAGAATAAAAGTTTCCAAGACAACAGCTGGAGATATTTTACATCGTATGGTCTTCTAAATAGTATATATAATTATTTAAATGTTTCTCCATAAACATTGACCATTTCTTACAGTATTTATTTCAAATTAATGTTTAATATGTTTTAAATACCGATAATACTTAGGGGGATCATTTAAAATTAGACCGTCCAGGATTTTGTTCTTATTATTTTTCTCCAAATGTTTTTGATGCGAAATTTACCATGATATAAAATTAGGAATAAAATATTAATTGATTCTTTGGTGAAAGAGAGTGTTGATCATTAGAGAGAGAGAGAAAAAAGTGTTATTAGTCCTGAGTCCTGCCTTGTCAAGTTCAGTTTTCATCCTGGACAGATAAAAATCCTTACAAAGCCTCCTCCTCAAGCACAGCCACAGAGCTAATTTCAATGCCTTATCCGAGTCTCTACTGTGCACAATATAGTTTCTTGAAGAGATATTATGTTGTCTAGCACTCAGGATGGATGGATGGATGGAAACTCTAGGTGGTGGTTTTCTTATATAAAATATATTATATACAAGACAGTCTGGTGCTGGAGATGCCGTGTGGTGAGGAGTTTGCTCAGAAGACACGTTCAGTGAGTAGTGTGTTTTACTTTTACTTTTATCCTCTTCGCCACTGATCGGCTTGTTAGCCGCTTGGGCGATCGGTCACGACTCTTTTCCTTTATATTCTTCACCAAAAGGTCGGCTCGCTAGCCGCCCGGGCGATCGGTCACGTCTCTGTCACGCACTGTTGGCAAATACTGGGCATGCACCGGCTCCTGAATGTACCTGAACCCGCTCCAGTGTTGGTCAAGTCTTCTCTTGAAAGAGCTCACACTCGGTGCCGTCACAACACTTTCTGGTAGATTGTTCCAAGAGTTTACAACCCTCACTCCGAAAAAGTTTGCCCTCACGGTTTTCCGGACTTGCGGCTTCTTCAATCTTGAGCTGTGACCCCTTGTGGGGCGAGCGTCCGCCAGCTCCAAGTAAGGACACTCAACTGAGTAGTGCCCCCTGAGATGCTTATAAACCTCAACTAGGTCCCCCCTTGCCCGTCTGTAGTATAAGCTAGGCAAGTTCAGGCGCTCCAATCTCGCAGGGTAGCTGAGATGCCGAAGTGCAGGCACCAGCTTGGTGGCCCTCCTTTGAACATTTTCAACCAACTGACAGTCCCTAGCATATCTCGGGGACCAGATGGGGTGACAGTACTCCAGATGGGGAAGCACTTCACTCCTGAAGATCGTCACGAGGGACGGACCGTCTAGATATCTGAACGACCTTCTTATAAGACCCAATAATTTATTTGCCTGATTTACCTTCTTCTCACAATGGCCCGAGAACTTCAGCTCATTGTCAACATACACACCTAGGTCCTTCTCACACACAGTCTCAACTAGTACATTTTCTTCATCCCGTTGGGACATATGGTACGCCTCCTTACCGTTGGTACGCCCCAGGTGCATCCTCTTACACTTCGTGACATTGAATCTCAGCAGCCATTCCTTCGACCATTCCTGGAGCCCACAGAGGTCCTTCTGCAGCTCTTCACAGTCCGCTTGGTTCTTAATTTCCCGAAATAACTTGGCGTCATCGGCAAACATTTGTATGGAGGAGTGTACAACGTCAGGCATATCATTTATGAAACAAACAAACAACAGCGGGCCCAATACACTACCCTGCGGTACCCCACTTGTTACAGGTACAGATGACGATTTCGTGCCATTAATCACCACACATTGCTTGCGGTCATGTAGAAAGTCTTCTATCCACGCTAGGACATTTCCCCGAATTCCGTACCCTTCCAGTTTGATTTTCAGCCTTTCGTGGGGTACACTGTCGAAAGCCTTGGCAAAATCTAGGTAAATATTGTCGATATTACCACCCCGTTCTAGAATATGGGTCCAAATATCCAATACCTTGAGCAATTGTGTCAAGCAAGAGCGCCCCGGCATAAAACCGTGTTGGCAATCTTTTACAAGGTTGTTTCGTAGTAGATGTTCCATCGCTGCATCTCTGATAATACTCTCAAGTACTTTACATATTATGCTGGTCAGGCTCACCGGTCTATAGTTGTTCGTGGAGTGCCTATCGCCCTTCTTGAAGATAGGACTCACATAAGCCACTTTCCATTCACTGGGGACCATTTGTTCATCCAGGCATTTACAAAACAGAATCTTCAGGGGCTCTGCAAGCTCGTTGCACAGCTCCCTTAGCACTCTAGGATGCACCATGTCAGGTCCAGGACTCTTATGGACCTTTAGCCTGGACAGTTTATTTCTAATACCCTCTTCTGTGAACACAATGTGGGTCAGTGCTGTGTCGAACCGTCTGTCCTCAAACGCAGGAAGGTTAGTTGCATCCTCTCTTGTGAACACTGAGGAAAAGAAGCTGTTCAATGCCTCAGCTTTATCCTGGTCAGAATCTGCGTAACTACCATCTTCAAGCCTCAGGTCTGATACTCCTACTCGCGTTTTCAATTTCGACTTTGCATAGCGGTAAAACGCCTTTGGGTTTGACTTGACCTCGCGTGCAACCAGCCTTTGGAACTCCTTTTCAGCCCTCCTACACTCTATCTTTGCTTGGTTTCTGGCTCTTGCATACATCCTCCTGTCTTGCTCATCGTTTGACCCAACCCACGTCTTGAATTTCTGGGTTTTCTTCTTAATTTTGTCGACCGCCGCATGGAGGTATCTGTGAAGGAACTTTGTTAGAGGAGATGTTGCGTGTTGCTGATATTGTATTTTGTTGTCCCTAAACACAATGCCAAAACGAAAATGTAAATTCATTGCAGAACTAAAACAAACTTCAAATGTTTTCCAAGTGGTAGAGAAGAAAAGGAAGCCGAGTACTTGGTATGTAGTACTTACGTCTCTGGAAATAAAAGCGAAAATTATTTACAAACTCCATTTACTTTTATCCTCTTCACCACTGATCGGCTCGTTAGTCTCTTGGGCGGTCGGTCACGTCTTTGTCACGCACTGTTGTCAAGTACTGGGCATGCACCGGCTCCTGAATGTACCTGAACCCGCTCCAGTGTTGGTCTGGTCTTGAAAGAGCTCACACTCGGTGCCGTCACAACACTCTCTGGTAGATTGTTCCAAGAGTTTACAACCCTCACTCCGAAAAAGTTTGCCCTCACGGTTTTCTGGACTTGCGGCTTCTTCAATCTTGAGCTGTGACCCCTTGTGGGGCGAGCGTCCGCCAGCTCCATGTAAGGACACTCAACTGAGTAGTGCCCCTTGAGATGCTTATACACCTCAATTAGGTTCCCCCCTCTTATACACCTCAATTAGGTTCCCCCCTTGCCCGTCTGTAGTATAAGCTAGGCAAGTTCAGGCGCTCCAATCTCCCAGGGTAGCTGAGGTGCCGAAGTGCAGGCACCAGTCTGTGAGCTTCAGGAATGGTCGAAGAAGAAATGGCTGCTAAGATTCAATGTCACGAAATGTAAGAGGCTGCACCTGGGATGTACCAACGGTCAAGGTAGGTAGATAACCTACCTTGCCAACGGTAAGGAGGCGTATCATATGTCCCAACGGGATGAAGAAACTGCATTAATTGAGACTGAATGTGAAAAGGACATCGGTGTGTATGTTGACAACTGGTGCCTGCACTTCGGCACCTCAGCTACCCTGGGAGATTAGAACGCCTGCAATTACCTAGCTTATACTACAGACGGGCAAGGATGGACCTAATTGAGGTGTATAACATGTCAAAGACTTAACCAGCAGATACATTCAGGAGCCGGTGCATGCCCAGTACCTGCCAACAGTGTGTAACAGAGACGTGACCGGTCGCCCAAGTGGCTAACGAGCTGATCAGTGGTGAAGAGGATAAGAGTAAAAATGTTAAAGTCTGCGTTCATATTTACTTTTATCTTCTTCACCACTGATCAGCTCGTTAGCCACTTGGGCGACCGGTCACGTCTGTTACGCACTGTTGCCTTAGTGAGTCAGGCCAGTGGATACCCCTCATTATGAGGGCCTCATCTCCTCCCGCATTCGGTCGTAATTTCCCTTGCAGTATTTGCACCTTGGCCTGGTTTTGTCGTGAACTAAGTAACAGTTAAATCTGAATGACAACATTACATGGTGGCTGGTGCCAACAGGGGCTACATGTTCCAGTTTGGCTACTCACAGATGATCTTCTGGAAGAGACTGTGACTCCAGCTCAATAGCCTCTTCTCTACTCAGACGGTGGCTGTGTGTGGCGGATAATTGTGCCCTAAAATTATATACTTGTTGATTTTTCCAGTATTTATCTAATTTTGCTTCAAACTTTTCCACATTCACTACCCACTCAGGTAAACTATTCCAGTGCCTTCGGTGTTTGCTCCCCTCTGCTATGCGTCGGGCCTTTAAAATGTTGGAACAGAAAATTATCTCTCCGAGTTTCTACAAAAAGAGTAGCTGGGCTATTTAAGTCATTTAGCGTGAACTAATTTCTCCAGTCAATGTCGCCATGGTTCAAGTCCCTATGATAAGGAGGAGGCTAGGGATGACCATCACTGTACTGTACTAGGATGGGTGCCTGCCAAACCCCAAGAACACCCAGATACTGTTGGCATAAGAATTCTATTAGAAACAATCCTCTTGTGGCCTTATTAGGTATCCCTGGTCAAATTGAGTGAATATCAATAAATTGTTAATCTTAATTACTAGTTATTGTCGTTATCCTACAATCTCCAGCTGATGCTCAGGAAACTGTAATGTCTCAGTGTTCCAATATTATTTGTTGATAACCAGCCCTATCAACACCGCGAATTTTAAATACCATATTAATTTCCCTTTTGACCGATTATGGATCCAAAAATGATAATGTTCCTTATACTAATCATTTGAATAAATAAACTATCAAATTACAACCAATCAATAAGCATTTTTCTATACATATACATTTCGCTTACCAAATTTTCTAGAATATATTTCCTTCCACAATGGCAGTTTCTTTTTTATTTAGGAGTAATATTTCTCAAAATAAATGATAGTTAACCCTTGATAGATTCAGCAGATATCCCCAGTGTATTAAAGTTAGTTCATACCCAGAAGGTTTATATAGCTAAGATCAAGTACATTCTTATATGAAGAATGTACACAATAATGAAGATGAAAATTTTTACTGTTTCATCTTTAGTTTAATAAATCGAGTTATTAAAATATATAAATACTGTACATTTATATATATTTTTTTATCTGAGGTCGATAATACTGTACACATTTCCCTTTGTAGAGTTGATAGTTATCGCTTGATTATATTTACGAGTATATTTCCCAAGCTATCAGTATATATTAATATATATTTCCTCAACATAACTTTAAACAAAAATATATATACAATTCATTAAAAAAAAATTAACTATGTACTATACTAACAAATTTATTAGATCAAATGTAAAGAAGAAGATATAAATGGCATCTGATCTCTCAGCTCCACCAGCACCTCACAAGCTCTCTGGTGTGTGCTGCTGGACATGGCAGAAGGCTGTGTAGTGTCTCTATTATATATTCTGTGACAGTTCATTAGCAATTTTTTTAAAGGTAAGCAATCAGTGTGTGTAGTATCGTTAGTACTATTGGTGAGAAACGAGTGAAAATATGAATAAGGTAAATATTTTATAGTTTTTTAGATTTTTATAGGTTAGGTCAGGTTTTTAAAGGTTTTTTTGGTGTTCTTTTTTTTAGTATTTTACTCCACATTTTCCCTCTACTCTAAACCCCTTCCCACTTTAAACAACTAATATTGCTGGTAATTGGTGAGGTCATATTGGGGGTTAACGGTTGTGTGTACTCAAGTATAGGAGTATACTTTGCTTACTTCATCCTCTCTTTCCACTAGTCAGCTTACTAGCCAGGTTGTTGGTTGGTCAGGTCACTATTACCCTATTGGCTAGTAATAGGTGTGCACAGGGGCTTGAGTGTATTTGGGTGTGAGGTGTACCAGTGTTAGTTATGTCTGGCTCACTGGTCTGTTTCTGTCATAAATAGACATAGTCTAGGAATATTTAGTTATTTGCTGAAGGCACAACAGTGAAGACATACTTGCTGCTTCTTAAGGTAAATTTGAAGGATTGAGAACTGCCATTTTCATCATAAAATCATGAAATGGATTTAAAATTTTAATAACCGAGAGTATTCTGGAAGTCTCAAAACTCAGGCCATTTTAAATTGAGTACAAATTCATCATGCAAAATTTGGTTGTGAGAAAATCAGGAATGTAAGAAAACCATAAATTTTCATTGTTATGCAATGTAACTTGATTGTGCGACAGGCCCAAACCTAGAGAAAATGGAGAAAACTGGTGCTGGCACTTTGGCACTTCAGCTACCCTGAGAGATTAGAGCGCCTGCAACTGCCTAGCTTATACTCCAGACGGGCAAGGGGTGACCTAATTGAGGTGTATAGACATCTCAAAGGGCACTACGGTACTCAGTTGAGTGTCCTTACATGGAGCTGGCGGACGCTCGCCCCACAAGGGGTCACAGCTCAAGGTTGAAGAAGCTGCAAGTCCAGAAAACTGTGAGGGTAAACTTTTTCGGAGTGAGAGTTGTGAACTCCTGGAACAATCTACCAGAGAGTGTTGTGACGGCACCGAGTGTGAGCTCTTTCAAGACAAGACTTGACCAACACTGGAGCAGGTTCAGGTACATTCAGGAGCCGGTGCATGCCCAGTAATTACCAACAGTGTGTGACAGAGACATGACCGATCACCCAAGCGGCTAACGAGTCGATCAGTGGTGAAGAGGATAAAAATAAAATGTAAAAAAGTAATGTTTGGTTGGGTGCAGTAAGGGGGCATAACACATGTCCCAATGGGACGAAGAAACATCATTGATGGAGACCAAATGTGAAAAGGACCTGGGTGTGCATGTTGACAACCATCTTAAGTTCTCGAACCATTGAGAGAAGAGAGTGAATGAAGCAACTAAGCTAGTAGGTCTTATAAAAAGGGCATTCAGATATTTAGATGGTCCATCCCTTTTCAAATGTGAGGTACTTCCCCATTTGGAATACTGCCACCCTGTCTGGTCCCTGAAATATGCTGAGATTTTCATTTGATTGACTGGTGCCTTCACTATGGCATCTCGGTTACCTAGAGAGATTAGAATGTCTGCAATTGCCGAGCTTATACTATAGGTGAGCAAGGGGTGACTTTATAGAAGTTTATAAATACCACAGAAGACATTATTTAGTGGAGCATTCTTACATGAAATTGGCAGGTGCCCGTCCCACTAGGTGGTCACAGCCTAAGGTTGTAGGAGCCACAAGTTCAGAAAGCTGTCAGGGCAAATTTTTTTGGAGTGAGGGTTGTGAACTTTTTGAACAATCTGCCAGAGAGTGTTGTGACAGTACTGAGCGTGAGCTCATTCAAGATCAGACTTGACCATCTCTGGAGCGGGTACAAATCTAAGTCATTCTACTGTACTGCAATTCAAAACCAGCCATCTTTATTTTCATGTACAGTATTTCCCAAGAACTATTTTAATGGTGAACTGAGCATTCATGTACAGGGTAGAGGGAATTTTTTTATTTAAGATCACTAAATAATTTCTGTATTTTAGGATGTGCAATAAAGAAGAACCTAAAAATCAGTAGGTTCCTGTTTACAGGTATCTCCCGATATACGATGGGATTATGTTACTGAAAAACCCATAACCAGTTGAAATATCATAAATCGGGAGCATTATATCCTGTAACATGGGGTTCGATGGGATACTGTATGTTCCCAGCCAGTCCGATACTAAAAAAAAAAAAACAACCCTACAATATGATACCTAAAACATAGTTAAACTCACCACATCATTAAGAACAAGCCTAGTCATCATCACATGTCCCCTTCAAGGCTAAGGGGAGTATCGAAGGTGGAATGGAGATGTCACTTTGATTCCCACACAGCCTCTGGGGAGTCAAACTGCACCTCCAGGGACACAGTATTCCTGGGTACCTTGGCCTTCCCAGATGCAGGAGCTTCAGCAAAACTCTTGCTAGACATTTTCAAAGTTACACTCCTCACTTCATAGTCACTAAAATGCAGTGTCGTAAAAAGTACAGTACAGGACTTTGTTACTTAAGTAAGTATTGTTACATTGGCAAAATGTTACTCAAGTAGAAATAAAAGTATCTCATTCATAAATTATTCAAGTACTGAAAGCAAAAAGTAACAACAAAATAAATATTAATCATCTCAAATATTTAAATAAATCGACAGTAAATTATAAAAAAACTAGTTAACTAAAGATAAAAGATAAAAGACAGCATTACCCACACTTTTATTTGCAAATCTTTCTATTGAGATTAATCAATAACCGATTCTCAAAATTATGGCCTAGATATAAGCCCAACATGACTAAACAAGCTCACAGTCAACAGGTACATGTAGTGGGGTGTTAAGCTCAAAAGAAAAGTCACGTAATGTTGGAAACACCTCAGTAGCTCCATTCCATCCCCTGGGCATGTCACGTAGCTATCAAGCTCCTTCAGTTGAGGAGTTTGTGGATGATTGTTGCCTCCATAGCACTTAACAAGGAAATGGCAGAAAGGGCGGCTTGGGTGCTTAAACTTTGTGTTCGTCTCTTGGGAACAAAGATGGAACTATATGAAAAATGCATGTGATTGGTCCAGACATGAAGAAATGCTTGTGGTTGGTTAGCTTCCTAGTTTTTCCTGCTACTTACAACTGTAAAGCAAAAAAAAAAAAAAAAAAACACCGATGTTAAGTAAAACACCGATACTGACCGAGAATCACTGAGCTACATGATCACCAACATGTTTGATCACCATGGAACAAACCTTGGCACTATAGTGCACCCGATGGCCGCATGGCAGCACGCGGGGTGACTGCAGCTAAAGAGTGCAGGGATAAATGCATTCCATATTCTATGAGTCAGCGATTTTGGCCGGACAATGACCAGCGTTCGCGCAAATTTTATTTTATCATAAATAGGGGTTTGTTCTTAATACATCATCATCTTTCAAGTGAAATATTGTTTATGTAACAAAAAACGTTGACTACTACTTTAAAGCATTTGTTAAAAAAATATTAAAGAAATTGGTATTCAGTCATTTATAAAAATTGATATTCAGTCAATTTCACCAAGGCCAGCTGACATGGCCATGAGAGGCTTGTTTCCAGTTGGCATTGTGCGAGGCTGAGAAGGTTAATAATACAGTACTTGTATAGTGGTTATACAGTAATATCTCTGTTACCTGGAATCCCTCTTAACCGGAATTCTCTGACAGCCGGGGGCACATTTTCTGGAAAATTCTGAGAAATTTTCCTGGTACCCGGAAAATTCAGGGGAAGGGTAATTTTTTTTTCTGGGTTTGAAAGTTGAAATAATGCCTCATTCTGGAAAATTCCGTGAAAATTCGCAGGAAGGGGGGATATCTTTCTGGGTTCGAGAGGTGATGTACAGTAATGGACAATTTCTGGAAATATCTCATTCCCAGAAGTGCTCTGCACCAATTATTACGGCTGTAAATGCACTTGCTTATGAGATACTATTTTTCTATACAGTACAAGTATTTTAATTTAAAAAAAAATATCTACAATACAGTATTAATTTTTTGCATCAGGCCATTTTTTCTTTACAGCTAAACAATGTCAGACACTTTCACATTCTGCAAAATTACTACACACCCGGTGGGATACAATAGTAAATATACAATTCATCTCGTCCTAAGGATTTTCCACTTGCCACGGGCGAGCGTGCAAGTGAGTTTCCAAAGCCCTGCAAATAATTATTTTTATTTGACCCTGAATTTATGGAATTTTGAGTGGAAGTTTACATCAAATAAGAGAACATTAGAAAAATCGTGTTGGTATACTGTACTAGACCAGGGAAGTTTTCAAGTTCTAAAGCAGTCGGTATTGAAATAAAATAAAGATGGTCAGTTGTAGCTCTTGGAAAGGGAAAGAACCAATACAGTACAGAGAAACAAATGCAGGATGTGCAAAATAATTCTTCATATTCACCATCAAACCCTAAATGATGTATTATAAGTGAGTTTCCTGGGACACAAATACTATACAGTATATCAATCCTTCAACATAGTCACAAAAGTTTTGAGATAACAATTAATTATTTTAGTGTGTACACCTAGAGAAGAGAGTGTTTCAAGTGTGAAGAGGTTCAATTGTTTCGCTTTCATCACGTAGCGTTGTAGCAGCTTGGTCACCGATGCCATTGTGAACAAAGGTGTTGCAGATATCAGCTGACTGGTTGTTTCACCTGATGCAGATGTTTGCGAGCATGGCCGCGTGTCTGAGGATGTGCAATTGCATGTCCACGCACCAACATGGCTCCTCCCGCTCCACGGCTGATATCTACACCAACTCCCCTGTAACACACCAGACTTTTCAGGGTAAAGCTGCCCCCTCTCCCTTTACACCTAACCCTTCCTCTTTACACTGTCACCTAACCTTACCCTCTATACATTTCAGTAACTGTGTCTTGTACTCTTTAGAACCAGTTGTGCACACCAGCAGTCAACCCCATCCAGTGTAGGTACCAACTTTGTATAATATGAGTACAATACAGTATACTGCATTTTATAATTTAATCAGTCGGTACTTTCCATAGCCAGATTATTTTGAACCATGGGTAATAATTGTTGGAAAAACTACTGACTCGTACATTGCATAAAGTGTCCTCTACAATGTACAAGATTATGCATACTTTATATGTAAACACATTATGGCATACACAAGTAAACTAGACTGTATGTTCTGCCCATGCAAGTACTGTACAGGTATACTAGACTATACATACTGCCCACTTAATTATACTAAACTGTGCTTACTGCCCACTCAAGTACTGTATAGTAGACTGTACTTACTGCCCACTAGGTACTGTACATGTATACAATACTAGATTATTCATACCATCCACTTAAGTATAATGTACTAGACTGTCTAGACTGTTCACTGTACTAGACTGTCTATACTGTTCACTCAAGTACAATACAGTACAATACCTGTATACCAAATTGTAAATACTGTCTATTCGTTTACAGAATACAAGATTGTAAGTGTTATTTACTCAAGTAAACCAAAGTGTATTATTCATTCAAGTAAACCAAATTGTATGGATTGTACTGTACCATCTCACATACAGTATACCGATTAGTAAATACTACCCCTTCACGTATACTGTACTATACTTGATTGCAAACTGTACAGTACTCACTGTTCATGTGTACTTAATTTTAATTGCTGTTCAGTCATGTAAACCTGACTAAATATTGGCCTCTCAAGTATTCCATATTGTACAGTTGGCTCCACTCCCTGAGGTCTGAACCTCAGAACTCAGAAGTCTGAATTCGAAGTATTCGCCAGTAAGCGGGAGGGAGAGCGGATGGAAATGAGAGGACACAACATTATTTCACTCTGTAAATTGTCTGTAATTATTTGACTACCAGCAACCCAGAGTAGAAGTTGGGTGATGGGGGAGTCGAGGGTTCCCCCAGCAACTCTGTCCAGAGCTGCTGTTATGTCTAGTGCAGTACATAGCAACTTTATTATTTAACACAGTTAAGCGACATGATATAAACAGGAAATATATACATATCCTTACCACAGGTTGGCAACACCGGGGCTAGGGAGAGTTGAGAATGTTCGTGGTGTGTGTGTGTGACACAATAGTGTGAGACAACCAACACTAATTTGTAAGCAGTATGAGGTACAGGACATTTCTTTTACTATGTTATTACTATTTACACAATTAATAATAATTATTAATGCTCCAGTAATTGATCACAATACTAGACATGTGGTTGGGGGATGGGGGGTAAAAACACATGGTGAAGTGAGTCAAGACCAAGGACGAGATGACTACATCACAAAAGGTGAAAAGAGACTGGGAGGCTCTTATGTGTGAGTGGCAACATAATCTAGCCAGACCAGCCCTTTATATTCAAATAGCCCCGTGAAAGATAAAAACGTCATGTGACGTGACCCGTGACTCGAAGCCTCGGGGTTAAACGACAACCTATATTACAGCACTGGCACAAATTCTACATTTAAATATACAAGTTCCCTTCTCTACCAAATAGGGCCTGCAGTAACACCTGGGTCCCAGCCTGCAGTAGCTTCCTAGCCTGACATAAATTCTCGTACCACCTGAGCACAGGAGAGACGTCTGTTCTCCACCAGGTAGGAACTTGAGAGATAGCAAACGGCCAAGCATTTGGCGAACCAATTCAGGTGTGATTCCTATGCATGTGCTGTGGGTAGACTGATAAGTGAAGGTAAAGGTGCGTGGTGCATAGGGTTAAATATTATTACTTTATAAAATGTTACTGACCTGACATAGAAAAATGTAATTTGCATTGTCCACACGTATACTAAAGGTTAGTATTGTCCACACATGTATACTAAAGGTTAGTATTGTCCACACATGTATACTAAAGGTTAGTTTTGTCCACACATGTATACTAAAGGTTAGTATTGTCCACATGTATACTAAAGGTTAGTATTGTCCACACATGTATACTAAAGGTTAGTATTGTCCACACATGTATACTAAAGGTTAGTATTGTCCACACACGTATACTAAAGGTTAGTATTGTCCACACATGTATACTAAAGGTTAGTATTGTCCACACATGTATACTAAAGGTTAGTATTGTCCACACATGTATACTAAAGGTTAGTATTGTCCACACATGTATACTAAAGGTTAGTATTGTCCACACATGTATACTAAAGGTTAGTATTGTCCACACATGTATACTAAAGGTTAGTATTGTCCACACATGCATACTAAAGGTTAGTATTGTCCACACATGCATACTAAAGGTTAGGCTGCCCACACATGCATACCAGCTGTTGGGTATTGTCCACACATGTATACTAAAAGGTAAGTATTGTCCACATGATACCAAAGGTTAGTATTGTCCACACACGTATACTTCAAAAGGTTAGTATTGTCCACACATGTATACTAAAGATTAGTATTGTCCACACATGTATACCGAAGGTTATATTGTCCACACATGTATACTAAAGGGTTAGTATTGTCCACACATGTATACTGAAGGTTAGTATTGTCCACACATGTATACTAAAGGTAAGTATTGTCCACACATGTATACCAAAGGTTAGTATTGTCCACACATGTATACTCAAAGGGGTTAGTATTGTCCACACATGTATACTAAAGGTTAGTATTGTCCACACATGTATGTAATTAAAGGTTAGTATTGTCCACACATGTATACTAAAGGTAAGTATTGTCCACACATGTATACTAAAGGTTATATTGTCCACATGTATACTAAAAGGTTAGTATTGTCCACACACATGTATACTAAAGGTAAGTATTGTCCACACATGCATACTAAAGGTTAGTATTGTCCACACATGCATAAAGGTTAGTATTGTCCACACATGTATACTAAAGGTTAGTATTGTCCACACATGTATACTAAAGGTTAGTATTGTCCACACATGTATACTAAAGGTTAGTATTGTCCACACATGTATACTAAAGGTAAGTATTGTCCACACATGTATACTAAAGGTTAGTATTGTCCACATGTATACTAAAGGTTAGTATTGTCCACACATGTATACTAAAGGTTAGTATTGTCCACACATGTATACTAAAGGTTAGTATTGTCCACACATGTATACTAAAGGTTAGTATTGTCCTCACATGTATACTAAAGGTTAGTATTGTCCACACATGTACACTAAAGGTTAGTATTGTCCACACATGTATACTAAAGGTTAGTATTGTCCACACATGTATACTAAAGGTAAGTATTGTCCACACATGTATACTAAAGGTTAGTATTGTCCACACATGTATACTAAAGGTTAGTATTGTCCACACATGTATACTAAAGGTAAGTATTGTCCACACATGTATACTAAAGGTTAGTATTGTCCACACATGTATACTAAAGGTAAGTATTGTCCACACATGTATACTAAAGGTTAGTATTGTCCACACATGTATACTAAAGGTTAGTATTGTCCACACATGTATACTAAAGGTTAGTATTGTCCACACATGTATACTAAAGGTTAGTATTGTCCACACATGTATACTAAAGGTAAGTATTGTCCACACATGTATACTAAAGGTTAGTATTGTCCACACATGTATACTAAAGGTTAGTATTGTCCACACATGTATACTAAAGGTTAGTATTGTCCACACATGTATACTAAAGGTTAGTATTGTCCACACATGTATACTAAAGGTTAGTATTGTCCACACATGTATACTAAAGGTTAGTATTGTCCACACATGTATACTAAAGGTTAGTATTGTCCACACATGTATACTAAAGGTTAGTATTGTCCACACTTGTATACTAAAGGTTAGTATTGTCCACACATGTATACTAAAGGTTAGTATTGTCCACACATGTATACTAAAGGTTAGTATTGTCCACACATGTATACTAAAGGTTAGTATTGTCCACACATGTATACTAAAGGTTAGTATTGTCCACACATGTATACTAAAGGTTAGTATTGTCCACACATGTATACTAAAGGTTAGTATTGTCCACACATGTATACTAAAGGTTAGTATTGTCCACACATGTATACTAAAGGTAAGTATTGTCCACACATGTATACTAAAGGTTAGTATTGTCCACACATGTATACTAAAGGTTAGTATTGTCCACACATGTATACTAAAGGTTAGTATTGTCCACACATGTATACTAAAGGTTAGTAGTGTCCACACATGTATACTAAAGGTTAGTATTGTCCACACATGTATACTAAAGGTTAGTATTGTCCACACATGTATACTAAAGGTTAGTATTGTCCACACATGTATACTAAAGGTTAGTATTGTCCACACATGTATACTGAAGGCTAGTATTGTCCACACTTATTGTAAACAGTATATCAGGGTTTAAATATTATTTACCTTATACAAGCAGTTGTATTCTATCTTGTACGTTTATGTGTGTTGTAAATAGGAGTTTCAAATTACAGCATACAGTAATTGCGTGCTACCGTGTGCGCTGGTAAGTGTTGTGTATTGTCAGCATAATTACACTAATGTGGTCACGTTCAGTCTATGTGATTTATTATAATTTATTTTATACCAATTCGTCGTGTTACCTTGAGTCCTGACTGAGCGATGTGGGGTGGTGCGTGTGGGGGTGTGTAACCTCCGAGAACAGCTAGACTAATATAAGGTTGAATTCCGCATGTGGATGAAGGGATCAGGCTTGTGTATCCTGATCATAGTGTTCGTCTTTATCTCCGTGAGGCCAGTGTTAGTGCAAGGAGGAGTGAGGGGGTGTACTATTTCCAGTAGCTCTCATTGATTATTGAAGTGTGTTACAAGGTTTCTTAATATTTCTCGGTATCATGAGGCGACTGGAGCTATTGTTGCATTGCTCATTTTGTGTTAGATCCGTTTCATTATAACTTTTTCATGCATGTTTCTCTTCGCGGATTCTCTTCCATTGTTATTTGCTGTATATTGTCACTGATAATTTATCAGTCTTGCCTGGTTGGTGAAGCTACACGGCCCTCATCCTGTTTTGATGCCTTTGGTACCACGGAAGTTTACTGGACTTGCCTCTCACTCTGACACGAGCTTGATACCCGCTTGGATTGGATGTGGGAAAGGTGTAGTTCAGAGTGATCCAACCAAACATGTCAAGTTTTCTTTGGGTAGCTACTTTAGTTCCTCCTGCACCTATCACTGATCCTCACTAGACCTTTATGAGACTGGTCAGTAATACAGTAATTGATACAACTACCCTGTATTAATATATGTCACATTCGCTGTCAGCAGCTTGGTCATCATTTGCTAAAATTGCTAAGGGTTCTGACAACGGTATTAACGGTATTACAGTCGAGGGTTTAATTGGACCCCGCGTTATCAGCTGCACTTACATAAGGTAAGTATAGCGGTGACCAACTTGTATTGAAATGATAACTTAATTATGACCACTTGTGGGTGGGGTAAATGCTTTAGGCACATTTGTCGTATTGATAGTGATGATTCATGGTGCCTCCAGTGGTGATGTGAACTGAGAATAAACACCAACTTTCTATGTGGTTTACCTCTTATCACTTGTTATTTGACTTTTTTGTGATAATATTATATTCACACACCACTCAATAACTTCTCCATCTTGAGGACTGAAACACACCTACTCGAGAAAGATAACCTAGTTTACAACTGTCACGTGAGGATGAGTAATGCCATGAGGATAGCTCGATGTAATGTAGATTATCTTCAAAGAGGATACACTCCTCACGGTACAGAGGGAGACCGACCTACTTTTATGGTGGTGTGATTTGTGTCATGTTTTCTGGTATATTGTTTTAAATAAATTGACGGTTTTCTAGCCTGCGGATTTACAGTATATGTTTGTTTATGTTCTAACTTAAAAAAGAAATATTTAGCGATAAGTAAATGTTTAGCTGTAAATAAATGTTTAGTTGCCCTGTTCACCACCACACTAACCAGGGTCGCCAGATACTCCTCCCCAAAAAAGGACAACCTCCGTAAAAAAAAAGAAGGACATTTAAGGAAAAAAGGACAACTACCAGCACAAGTTTGTGGAATTAATAAAAAAAGAAAACCATATGTTATATTTTGGTTGCATAGGTTTTACAGTCAAAATGTAACTTACCTGACATTTTAAAATTAAATGGACAAAATTTCATCTAAGGAAGTTGCCTCCCTTTCTCCATCACTTCCGGTAATCGTGCAGGTTGAACTGGAAGTACTAGGTTGCTGACTACTCTCCTTGGTCGAATTTTTGTTTTTCCTTGCTGTACATTTGACTTACGAAGAGTTCTAAAAAATTTTCAGTAACTTAAAATTTCTGGCAGCAGCTGTCCTTATTGTGCAAGTGTGTTCTCAATCGTAAAATGGCCTCTAAGAATCTGGGCTTAACTTGGCCGAGACAAATCTTGGGATCCAATATTTTATGTATTCCATTTTATTGTTGTATTGTCTATTCTTTCATCTAACTCGCTTACTGCCTGCAGTACGAAGCCGCGGCAGCGTTGCTGAATCATTTGCTTGCAGTCACTGCTTATTTTGCTCAATCTTAAGTCATATTCAAACATATCTCCAAGTTTACCATCACTCAGTGACCAAGGGAATTTTTTTCTGATGAAAATCTTTGTAGAGTTTTTGAAGCAGAAAGTTCCTAAATTTCCTCAATATCTCGAAATAACTTGCAGGAATCAGGATTTGGTGCTTGGAATGGGGCATTGAGGGATTCAAAATTCTGAACTATTGGGCAAACAAAAGTAAAGTAAAGCTTGTTAACTTCATCAAGGAGCATATCTCTCAGGATGTGTATTGTAGTTTTTATCAACAATTGAGCAGAAATATACCTTCAGTTCTTCCCACTGATTTAAAATTATGTAATGCATTTTCCTCTTACAACCCATCGAGTGACACTGGGGGTAACGAATTTATCAGTTTTCGTTACCATTGTTCATTGTCGCATATATTTGTTTGTAGTCATCTCTTACATGTACACTAACGTACATGTACACTAAACCAATGAGGAATTTCAGAAATTAGGTAGAGTAAGTTAGAAGGCAGAGTCTTGAATGATTTTCACAACACAGGAGTGGCTGGGGAGTCGGTCGGTACTGGCAAATCTGACCCCTACGACGCGTGTACTGAACGGCGCTCATCTTTTGGGGAGAGGAGAGGGTGTATGAACGTGTGTTTGACGTGGATTCAGTACAGGTCGTCACAAACAGGAGTTAAACAAATGATACGAACAACAGGATAGTACTTAGTAAAATATTATGCTTTATATTACATTAAGCTTTATATGTAGAAAGAAGCTAAAAAGGGACAGACAAGGTAGTTTTTGGGCTGTCCTTTTTAATCACAAAAATATAGGAAAAGGGACAGACCTTGCCACCCTAACACTAACTTCCGTGACTCATTGTTCTGTTATCGTGATGTTTGACTTTAACTGAGGTAATGTTTCTTGCATTTTATGGTAGTATTAAACATTATTTGCGAGACTGTGACTGGTACAGGTATTCAAGAGTTCTTTTTTATGAAGTGTTTTTTTTTTTTTTTCACCCATAGGTTTGTTGTTGAAGGCTAATGACGTGTGGAGGGACGCCAACGACAACCTTGAGAGCAACACAGACACCACCAACAGAAGATACATTGATTGTGTCACAGATGTCAACAGAAGTGTTAATTGTCGCACAGTTATCAACAGAAACGTTGATTGTATCACAAATGTCACCAAAAACGTTGATTTTGATATAGAAAAAAAGAGAAACGTTGATTGTGGGACATTTGCCAACAGAAACGTCGCTTGTAGCACAGATGCTAACAAAAACGTTGATTTTAATATAGAAGCAAACAGAAACTTTGATTGTGGCTCAAACACCAACAGAAAAGTTTATTGTAGTTTAATCGCCAACAGTAAAGATCGTAATTGTAACAGTCGAAGTAGTAACTGGAGCAAAGACGCCAACAGTAACGTTGTTTTTAAAACCACTAAAGTCTACAACTGCAGTGGCGACAGCTACGTCAAATGTGAGCCAGGAGAGAGCATCTATGATAACTACGTCGTAAGTAACAGGAGGAGCAGTGTAGAGAGGAGCGGGGACGTCAGCCAGGCGGGTGAGTGTGGCAGGAGCTACAAATGCATTGCCCTCGTCAGTGGTAGTCCACCAGAAAGGAGACAGCAGGGCAGGGTCGACCACGAGAACTGGTGCGGCCACAACCAAAGCGCCATGGCGGAGGCTCGCAGCGCTGTAGCCACACCCAGGGTCCAGAGGAAGGACTTGGGTACCACCGACTCCTTTGAAGATCTTGTCAAATCCTACCGGCAGATGATAATCAGGAACTACTTCCGCTTCCGGTAAGTACACCCACACATTACAGAGTGCATTTTTAGTCCACAGGTACCAGTTTTTAATATACCTCCAAAATTTTATTTTTTATTGACTAATCCGCGTAATGTATAGTGCAGTATGTGTGTGTCGCCAAAAACTAAATAAGAAGTCTTATGTGTCGCTAGGGTATGGGATGATAGTGTTATCTGATTACCTTGTGGTGTGGGATGACTGTATGACGAAACCTACGATCAGTCCGTTGGTGTTGGTGACATGGAGGACCTGTAGTAATGTATCATGGGAGGACCTGTAGTAATGTATCATGGGAGGACCTGTAGTAATGTATCATGGGAGGACCTGTAGTAATGTATCATGGGAGGACCTGTAGTAATGTATCATGGGAGGACCTGTAGTAATGTATCATGGGAGGACCTGTAATAATGTATCATGGGAGGACCTGTAGTAATGTCTGTATGATGTATTGTATATGTAGTAATTGTGTCATGTGGCAGTTGGGTCCTGGCAGATTGTCATTAGGCTGTAAAACTATACCTTATGTAATGAGGCTGAGTTATGTAGTAAAGGGGCGGGTCCTGTAGTGTGTGGGAGGACACCACCACCACCACTCAGTGTAGGGCTTCCTTGTGCCAGCCTCTTATCTCAACCTGCTGGCTTAGTAATGCGGTCTACCCTCTACAGTACTTGTGACCTATTTATCGTATGGAGCACTGTGTTGTTTTCCACACCAGAATTATTTTTATCCTTTATATTCTTTTTTGTTGCTGTCGTAAATAAATAGTTCATCATATCACTAAAGAATAATATACCGAAGCACTTACTAAGGATTTATATACAGTATATATATACATATACATATACATATACATATATATATATATATATATATATATATATATATATATATATATATATATATATATATATATATATATATACTAACTTGTTTAATCTACCATAACCTAACCGTGCAGCCTGATTATGTAAATGATAATGAAGGACGTCTTTAACTTTAAAGCCGTTTATTGCCCAGTGCTGGTAGGCCGGAAAACATCAAATACATATTCATATTTGTCCTTCATTCCATGTCAACCATTCCTTATTGCCGTAAAACACTGTAGTACTGTACTGTACAGAACTGTACTCTTACACACTGTTTACCTCTCACACTTCAGACAACTTATCCTCATCACTCACACTCCTGCCACTTGGGTGTCCATTTCCCTCACTTTTTCTGCACACCTTCACGTCAAACCCTTCCTTTCTGTGAATCATAAAGCCTTTTTAACCAATCTTTCACTGCCTCTTCTCTCAGTATGTAATTATTACCGGAGATAACTCATCTGCTCGCTGCCCAACACTCCTCTCGGTATTTCTTTGTTCCCTCATCCTTTTCACCTATTGTCAAACACGTAGTTTCTGTCGCCTATATAACAATGTTGTCTCAACAATTCCTCTAGATATCTCCATTACTTTGGTTTGGTTCATCTCGTATCTCACCAGATGCAGACGTATCTTAACCCCTGATAACTAAATTACTCTATTTCCTTCATTCTTTTCCCTTTTTTAGGCTAACATGTAGGTACTGTAATTATCCCTGTGTTGTTTGTCGGCTTAAGTTTCATATATATATATACTACATTACAGCAGGATTAGATAAAGAATATAGAGATGTGATAAGTGGAGTGTTTGACGGGATATAAAGCTGGTGTGGGGGAGGAAGAGGAGTGGTGACCATCTGCCAGCTCTTATTTAATGCCACCTTGGCCACGTGCCCAGCTCGCATGTCTCTTATATAACACTTCCGCGTATCCGGGAGCCCCGTCAAACAACATTGACCGTGATATATATATTCAGTAATAATATTGATAATTAACGATTAACTGGGAGAAAATAACATCCAAAGGATGGAAATACAGTCAGAATACATGTGATGACACTAGGGTGTGCGTCATTTAACAAAAGTTACAGACACTACAGTACATCACAGTGGCTGATGCTACTGTGGTGTCAGCCAGCTGCTCCTCGACGGGATGTTGTGGCGACCTGTCCTAAACTGGTAGTTAGAGATAAAATGAAGTTGAGAGGGAGCTGATAGAGCCAGTGTATTGAGTGCCTCATGATAGACGATTTAAAGTAGTACCATGACACTGTCGTCCAGGGAGCTATTGTCACGATGTTAGTTCTCTCGTAAGGGGAAGGCGACCCACGACAGTTGCCGTGTGGTCGTCGAGGAGCGGTCCCCATTTCACACATGGGATTGAGATGCTAGTGACGACCCTTGTTTACCACCACTGATGTGTACACTGTTCACACTGTGTTTTCCATTCTTTAGGAACTGAAATTGTTAATTTTATAGCATTCGTGAATGGATAGTCAATCCTTGCACTGGTTTATTGGTGGGGGAAGAGGTCCACTTGATCTCCAGGCAGCCTCAGTACACAGCGCCAGGACACGTCTTCCTCTTTAGCAGACGGTCATTGTGTGTGTGTGTGTGTGTGTGTGTGTGTTTTGAAAACGTTTAATTTTATCATAGGTAGTGAGTGGGTGGCAGACGTTGGGTGAGTGTGACGGGTGTAGTGAGGGTGGTGGGGTGGGGTGCAGGTCGCGGGGCTTGGGTGGTTGGCAATGCTCAAGGAGTCGAGCACTTTCACCCACATACGACTTTATCCATTGTGATAGGTCTCCCATTTAAACGTGCAAACAAGTACTTCCTATTTACTTCGTCAGTTACTTTTATTACAGAAGTAATTGTTGTTGTCCGATATGAACATTAATATATGGGAATAGTTAGTACTGCGGGCATAATGAGGCTACAAATAATGAATTAACGAATCTTCCTACTCATATATAGGGAAATAAAACTGTTGTTTCAGAGATTGACAGTTTATTAATTACAGGTTGTATTGTCAGAGCTGGGAGGATTGACAGGGCAAGGAATGATGTAATTCATATTTTCCCCCGCGAGTGTTTACAGCGCCCAACAGGGGAGCATGTGGAGTTCATGTCTGTCTTCTTGACATTTAAGGGCGTAAGTGCCTGAAGGGCCATGGATCATGCCAGCAAGTTACATATAGTGAGAGGATGAGTGTGTGGAGGAAGATTCCCGGTACAATACATCTATTTATGGCAAGGCGTGGCAAGTCCCTGTGTGGAGGAGGAGGAGGAGGGGTATTGGTGACTGTTGGGGACCTGTGCTGTGGTAGGATAGGCACGGAATAAGAATGTGTAGCGACCTAAGTGGATGATCTAAGGTTATACTGTGCACATAGAAATACGCATACATGATAGAGAAGGTTTATGGTAGTCCAGTTACAAGTACGAGAGATGCAACGTCAGTGAAGGCGTCAGACCTGAGTTGTCATATTGGATAACGCTAGAAGAACGATAATTGGTCGTCGACTAAAGACAGTTTCTACACGATTTAATTAGTGTAAATGGACCTTCTGACTCGGGTACTGGCAGTGGATTAAAATGATGTTTTGTAACGAACATGTAAGTTAGAGATTCATTTTCCCCCCCCCCCCTTTTGTTTTAGTTGGGGATATGCCGAGGTGTGTGTGTGCGTTTTGTTTTAGCACTTTATTTACGGTATTGTTATCACCCCGGCAGCAACTCGATCCGTAACGGTGTGTGGCCAACGTCCACCAACAACCTGGGAGTGGCGTGTGCCTTCTCCGTCTACCTGTTGGAGTACGAGCCCGCCTCCGCCCAGTCCATCACTGCCTACCTCAAGGAGGCCGTACAAGCGCTCCCATTCCCAAAGAGTGAGTACTATCTATATTACTAATGGGTCTTTCTTCCCCAGTCATTGTACACACTTTACTGCTGATGTACGGTACAGTGTTTATCTTCACTCTCATGACTCACAGTGGCTCCTAAACCTGTTTACATGCCCGCCGCCTTTTGTTTTACCCTCCATTCTTTAAAATGAATTTAATCAAATTTTAATTAACTTAACATCTTGTACTTATATTACTTTCAAGGTCAACTAACTCGTAATTATTTGATCCAAACATGTGATCGATCCATGACAAGTGGATTTCATGGGTGGGAGGGAAACACAGGGCTCAACTGACTGACTTTATTTCCCTCTCACGTGGGGAACCACTGCCTGAGTACACACACACACACCTATTAATGATGTTTAGGCAAAATGCCATAAAATGCCCTTTTTGCCTTTTTTTGGGACTTGCGAGTGATAATGCCTAATCTACTAAATAATAGCCTATTGTGCTTTTTTGCACATATTTCCACAAAGTAACACTCCAAACACTAAATTAAAGTTTCGGAACACCATAAAACTTAGCAAACCGCACCCATAAAACTTGGCATCACTGCTTTTGTCGGCACGAGACGTATATGAGTCGACGCACTGCCTCAGTACAGTACTAGGCTAACAGCAGACCTGACTGCTGAGGGCAGCGCTCTAAAAAAGTAAAAATGCCCAAAGTTAGTGCACCATCTGGCAAGAAGCTGAATGATCTTCTACGGGAGTTTGGATGTGACGTTTTTTCCACTGGTGGATCAGTGCTGTTTTGCAAAGTGTGTGAAAAAGCAGTGAATTTCGAGAAAAAGTACTTCGTTTCGCAGCATGTGCAGACTGCTAAACATTAAACTGCTGCTCAGAAAACGAAACCAGGAAGCCAGCAAACGAGTCTGCTGACTACATTCAGTGCATCCTCCAGCCGCAAGTCTACCTTTTCATTAGATCTGTGTAGAGCCTTTGTTGATGCTGGTATTCCGTTGTGGAAGCTAGAGAACAAGTCTCTGAAGTTATTCTTGGAAAAATACACAAAACGGCAAATCCCGAGCGAGTCTACTGTAAGGAAGAATTAGTTTTGGAACCTATGTACTTTAGTTATATTTCTAGTTTTATTTCTATAATTGCTCTGGGAATAAATGCCTTTTTAATGCCTATTTTGCCACTTTATTTTGCCTGCCTATTTTCAAGTTTTTTAGTGCCTACACATCCGGGCCATCATTGATGACTGATTCGGTTTATGTTTACTGTATAATTCTCTGATATTACCAGTAGTACCAACCAACTGACCTACTCACCTCCTGGTTACTGGCGTGTGTTTGAGGGCATTGTGTTGCTGGCAGTGTTGGTCGTTAGTAGTGTTGGTCGCTAGTAGTGTTGGTCGCTAGTAGTGTTGGTCGCTGGCAGTGTTGGTCGCTAGTAGTGTTGGTCGCTAGTAGTGTTGGTCGCTGGTAGTGTTGGTCGCTAGTAGTATTAGTCTCTGGCAGTGCTGGACGCTAGTAATGTTGGTCGCTAGTAATGTTGGTCGCTAGTAGTGTTGGTCGCTAGTAGTGTTGGTCGCTAGTAGTATTAGTCTGGCAGTGTTGGTCAGTAATGTTGGTCGCTGGTAGTGTTGGTCGCTAGTAGTATTAGTCTCTGGCAGTGCTGGACGCAGTAATGTTGGTCGCTAGTAGTGTTGGTCGCTGGTAGTGTTGGTCGCAAGTTGGTCGCTGGTAGTGTTGGTCGCAAGTAGTATTAGTCTCTGGCAGTGCTGGACGCAGTAATGTTGGTCGCTAATGTTGGTCGCTAGTAATGTTGGTCGCTAGTAATGTTGGTCGCTAGTAATGTTGGTCGCTAGTAATGTTGGCCGCTAGTAGTGTTGGTAGTGTTGGTCGGTAGTAATGTTGGTCGCTAGTAGTGTTGGTCGCTAGTAGTGTTGGTCGGTAGTAATGTTGGTCGCTAGTAGTGTTGGTCGCTAGTAGTGTTGGTCGGTAGTAATGTTGGTCGCTAGTAGTGTTGGTCGCTAGTAGTGTTGGTCGGTAGTAATGTTGGTCGCTAGTAGTGTTGGTCGCTAGTAGTGTTGGTCGCTAGTAATGTTGGTCGCTAGTAGTGTTGGTCGCTAGTAGTGTTGGTCGCTAGTAATGTTGGTCGCTAGTAGTGTTGGTCGCTGGTAGTTTTGATGGATGTTAGGAGGAGGCGAAAGCCAGTTTGTTTTGAGCCCAAATACATAATTTATAATGATTGACTGCCCACTGTGATGCCTTGTAATTTCCTACGATTCGCTCAACTTTGTTCTGCATTTTAACCCACTACATCAGTACGTAGTAAGACTCGCTTTATGATCAAGGAATACAGTATTTCTAATTTTGTTTTGGTCACTTGAATTCTTGTGGTGAAATTATTTTGATTGGTCACCATAAATGCTGTGAAAGAATGTGGTGAAGGTTGAGGTGTTGGGCAGGCTGGTGGCAGGCGGCCTGTAGAGCCCATTGTCAACACGCACTATTCACAAGACTAACTAGAGTATGTGAATCACAGTGTTGGGTCTGGTGTAGGGCGGTGAGAGGCAGTATGCTTAACTTCCTGTGTGTGTGTGTGAGACCTGTTCATAAGTTGGTGACTCATGCTAGCGAAGTGGAATGTGGGTGACTCAAGGTATTATCATGGACGTGTTTCATGCAGCGTCAAACTATCCAACTTAATCCAGAAGAATCAGTGGCTACCGTTAGTGTCACACGTTATTCACTGCGGCAACCTTACTTTGGCGCAATATCACCATAAATCAGTGTTATAATGACAAATTGTATGTTGCCTTGCAGCCTCTAGTAACACATTTCTAAAAATACGGTGGTTGAACTCCCAACACTAAATGTCGGTGTAAAGATGAGTGTTAGTTGTTGCTTGTGCAGGTTAGTGTTGAACACACAGTATTTTGTGTTGTATGGTGTGTGAACATCGTGATCAGTGTCACGTGTGTGGTAGTGTAGAGTTTAGCTGCTCCTGCACGGCTCTGCAGCAGTTCCCATTACTCCTCGTTCCTTAGCAGCAGATGCATGCCGAATGTCTTCGCAGATTATAAGGGTAATGGGAAACTGCAGCGGGCCTATTGGCCTATACTAGGCAGCCCCGTTTACACCCCAACCCCTATCACTTTTTAAAAATAATTTTCACCACTTACCAGCTTCCAGTTCGTTCGGTCGGTTGGTATATAGTGTTAGTACAGGAGGTAACCTGTGATGTTTGGTAGTGAGGGACACAATAGATAACACCCTTCTCACGTGTGTTCGGGCCGAGAAAGTTTCGAACCCATGACATATCGATTAGAGCTACGCGTGTCACCACACTAATATCAACACCAACACGTTGGAAACACCGCCGCTTCTTACCAGCACAGTTGTGTCTGACGTAAAGACTCTACTAGAAACAAGCCTACGAGTACGCAGTAAGATTGTTAATGAAACAATTTAGGAAAAATCATAATTACATCACAAGGTTGGAAGGAACGTAGGATGATTGTTAAATGAATCAATTTAGGAAAAGTATGAAATGGTTCTTATTACCACCATGCTGTGTGTACTATTCCAGGTGATACCAAATGTTACATAATATTTCCTTGAGATAAATGTACAGTATACTAGAATCAGGTTCCTACAAGAGAGCTCTGGCTCTCAACTGGCGTAGCCATGTTAATGCGTATTATGATTTTTAATCGACACTGTATTAGTGTTCTTCTGGCTAAATAAACTGTTTCAATACCAATGTCTCAATAAGTGTAGAGGAAAAAAAGGCGGTGGGCCAGAGCGGAGATTATTGAGGGTGTGTGAGACGACCTTTGTCTGGGCCGTGGCCACCACACACTCGCTCACACACCAGTGGACAGTCTGGACACTCTTCTCTGCAGACGGAAGTGTCCGTTTGCATCATCAAGGATGGTAGCAGGTGTACAGTACAGTGTAATGGAAACTACATAGAAGCATTTTTTCTCAAGTTTAGTAATGTTGAAGTCATGAGTAACATTAGTCTTTATGCTATTTTGGCAAAATTATACAAAATGGTATTAATTTGTTGTATCATGTGTCAAAACTGCCTTCGTTTAAGAAGTAACTGTAATTGTGTTTTATCCAAACCTTTTGGAAATTTCCGTACATGAAATCTTGGAAACGTGTTAAAAACCACCAGTTGCTAGATGCTGGTTTGTGTCATCCACAAGATGTCCCTCAAATACGATACAATACTGTAATGGTAAATGTGGATGGTGCTCACCCATGTGGTGGTGGTCCATCCACGCTTGGCCAGTGAAGTAATTACATGTCATCTATTATAGTTTTTAGAAATTATTGTTGTTTGATACGTGAAATAGAGAGGAAGAATTAATTTTTAAAAGTTTAACTTTAAGATTAGATTGACTTTAAAACTAAATTAGTAACCGTTGCGTGATCTTTGGTCTGGCGTTATTTTTTCCGACGTCATCATCTTCCCGACCTTAAGTTGAAAGATAAGGAGCAACTGAGTACCACGCAGGTATATAAAGGGGTGCACCCAGATGTTTTATAAAGGGGCGCAACTTATCCCTTTTTATTAAATTTTTGAGTTCCGAAACGAATTTAGAATTTACAAGATTTTATATGAAAGTCCAGACGTATGGATCAGTGTGTGCTCGCCTACACACATACACACTCGCTCAGACGAATAGGTCACCTAATAGCTAAGGTAAACACAGGACCCGCCTCTCGACCCCCTACAGTTAAGGGTGATTATCCCCTCCCCTATTCACCAGGTTCAAATATAGCAGCCCCCCGTGTGCAGTATCGATCTCTTTATTCACCGGCTCCTTTCAAATTATTTCGCTCCAGTGGTTCCTTAATACTACCGGCTCCTCGCCTCCTTCTTTGGGATACTGTGGCGTCCTTCACTTCTTCCTTGGGATACTGAGGCGTCCTTCACTTCTTCCCTGGGATACTGAGGCGTCCTTCACTTCCTTGGGATACTGAGGCGTCCTTCACTTCTCCTTCCTTGGGATACTGA